TATACAGAATTCTCTTTTCAGAACTAGATTTTGTCTTATTGGGTAAAGAGAAAATGATGTCTTTGCAAGTCATCTAGGAGTATTCAGGGAAATCAGAGATAAATAACTACTTTAATAATAATGAATCAGTTTAATGTGGATATTAATAGGTTTAAAATTTTATTTTATGCAGAATGATTATTGAAAAAGTATGCAAGTAATGACAATGATTAAGCTGTTCGCCCTAGAACTCAAACTTGAAAGAATTTTCTAATTTACACCTTTAATTTAGACAGAATGAATGTTTAAATATATGCATCTATTTATTAGCAAAGGTAGGAAAATTATAGTTAGTCTTTATTTAGAAAATATGGACGATGTTGATGTTCATTTTCCTTTAGGAACATTGTAGATTGACCCTGAGGTCCTGGCGCCCATCGCTTTCTGCGACCTCTCAGTGTACATCGGTTATCGCCTGGCCAACCTTATTAACATTCTCTGGCTGCACCTCTGGTCATGATCCAAAGAAATGTGCATTTAAAAATCTTGGAAAGCCTCCGAGGTAAAGATAGAGCTTTAACTCCAGGCCAGTAGGTGGCGCACTGGTGCTCCCTGCTCATGCAAAAAACAACGGCAGCAGTTTCTAAGCCACTTTCCTTCTTTACGTCAACATCAACGCTAAAAAGCTTGATCAACGATCAATGTTCACCCTAGTTTTCCTTTCTTCTTTTATATATTTTGTATTAATCGCTGGTATAAAAAAGTCGTAGCTTTGCCTCCTTTGGCTACGCTAGCTGTCCTAGTCGCTATCACAAGAGTCTAATCGCTGGGTCCGTTTTTTGCGGCCACTGCTCCGTCGCAATCTGTCACTACCCGATCTGTCCCGGAAGCACGATCTGTCCTGCTAATGCACGAACACAATAAGATTCACGTCACTGAAATGTATGATAACGGTACTGAAATTACTTATTTACATACTTAAAACATTAAAGAATAATAAACTACAATGTATAGAAAATATTGAAGACTTTTCTGGAAGAAATGGATCCATTTTACATTCTCTCCATTGTATTGCGTTACGTCATCATAGGGCATGCTCAGAGCAGTCACAGTAACGTTCAAAGTGTGTTTTTTATGTATTGCATTTTTTATTTTTTTATTTTTTTTAGAATATGCAATATTTACGCACATACAAAAATATTTAAAGGAACCCCCCACCCGAAAACCACAAAAGAATAAAAAAGTAAGAAAAACGACGTATCGCCTACATGGAAGTTGTTCGGTTTGCGCATGCGCAGGATGTATCGTACTTCTGCGACGGATCGGGTTGTGACACAGTCACACAGTGTGACGTCTCCTCTGCTTTATTTAGCAGGAGGCTAAAGGAAAAGCTCAGCCATAGACAGGCGGACTGATAGAAGCTGCCTGGCTGTAATAGGCTGGTAGAAAACAGGTCATGGTCAGTAAAAAAATTTAAAAAATAATATTCGTTGTGATCATTGAGTCTGGGAGCGGCCATTTTTGCCCAATTATAGTAACCCGTCCCTCCTGCCATCTTCCAGCAGTGATGTCAC